CTCCCACTTAGCTTTCTAGTGATCTCGTACAAAGTCCTTGCATCACCTCTCTTTCCAGCCTCCTCAGCTCATGTAAATTCTGTCTACTTTTATTCATCAGGGGAAATATTCAAAGCAGTCGCACGGAGTTTGTTCACGATAAACAAGCACTCGACTGCAAATGTTTACTTATATTGTGCTTCCAGCTTAGAATAATGAAGAATATGAAAGTAGAAACCGACACAACGTAGGATGATTTTTTTTAACTTACTTACTTACTCACTTACTTAATCCTCGTCGTCCCCTGTGGGACATAAGGCAACAATAATCCTTCCCCATCTATCCCTATTTTGTGGGACCTGCAGTGCCTCACCCCAAGTGAGTTTTACCTCACCTAGCTCCGCCAAGACAGCACGGCGTCAGGTGGTTTTTGGCCGACCAGGTTTCCTTTTTCCGGGCGGTGTCCATCGCAAGGCAACCTTGGGAATACGAGATTGACTCATTCGAAGTACGTGACCAAGCCATCGGATTCGTTTTCGTGTAATTTCCATGACAACACTCTGGCAGCCAGTTTTTCTGTAAAGCTCCCTATTCGAGATCTTATTTGGCCAGAGGATGTGGCAAATTTTTCGGAGACACCCATTGTGGAAAGACTCGAGTTTATTCATGTCAGACTTTATGACACGCCAGCACTCAGAACCATAAAGCAGGACAGATTTGACATTGCTGTTGTACAGTCGGAGCTTGGTCTTAAGACTGTACTGATTTGACTTCCAGATGGGATCGATGAAGTTGGGCAAATGCACCACGAGCTTCCCAAGTCTTGCTTTGATGTCCTTTTGTGCCCCATTGTCTTTACTGATAAGACTGCCCAGGTATGTGAAGTCGTCCTTTTGTGCCTCATTGTCTTTACTGATAAGACTGCCCAGGTATGTGAAGTCGTCCTCAAACTCAAGTGGTTCACCACTGGCCGTGATCGATGCCGTCGGAGTAGTATTGACGTACATAATTTGAGTCTTGGCTGTGTTGATCTTGAGACCTGTTTGCTTAGCATAGGTATCCAGTGTAGCAGTCTTCTCTTGTAGGTTGGAACGGTTTGTCGAGAGAAGAGCGAGGTCATCAGCAAAATCGAGGTCTTCTAGCTGAGAAAACAAGTTCCTCTGAGTTTGTCTGAGGTGTTCTTCCTCATGGACCAGTCAATGACGACAAGGAAGGGGATGGACGAGAGGATACACCCCTGCCTCACTCCGGACTTCACTGGGAACCACTCAGAGAGGGTATTATTATCCAAGATGATGCTGCATTCCAAATGATCATAGAATTTCTCTATCAGGGTGACAATCTTAGCTGGAACTCCATATGAATGAAAAATCTTCCACAAGGTTGCCCGGTGCACACTCTCGAATGCCTTCGTGAAGTCAATGAAGTTAGTAAGGTGTGTTCCACTCTAAGCACTGCTCGATGATGTTCTGCAGCGCAAAGATTTGTTCAATACATCTTCTACCATTCCTAAATCCTGCTTGCTCTTGCCTCAGCTTGCTGTCAATTGCTGCCTCAATCCTCATCAGAAGAACTTTACAGAAAATTTTGCTAGGGACAGATAGAAGAGTTATCCCTCGCCAGTTGTTGCAATTGTGAAGGTCTCCTTTCTTAGGTAGCTTGACAATAAGGCCTTTTGTCCAGTCAGATGGGATGTTATCCTTGGTCCAGATGGTTGTGGAGAGGTCAGTCATAATTTTTGTAGCTGTATCAATGTCAGCTTTCAGCATCTCGGCATGGATGGAATCAATGCCACAAGCTTTGCCATTCTTCATGGCTTTGATGGCAGTTCTAACTTCAGCTTCAGTAGGTGGGCTGATATTAATTTCTAGGACATCTTCAGCTGGTGGGGCGTTGGCTGGGTCATCTGGCTCTGGGTGGTTAAGCACCTCCTGGAAGTGCTGTACCCATCTGGTTGCTTGTTTACGCTCTGTTGTTAAAGCATTGCCATTCTTATCCTTGACAGGGGCAGGTTGGCTGGTATCGTTGCCACAAATGCGCTTAGTGATCTTGTAGACGACACTCATCTCGCCCCTCACAGCTGCTTGCTCAACTTCACCAGCGAGCTCCTCTTTACAGGACCTCTTGTCTGACCTTGCGCTCCTCTTCACTTCCTTATCCTTTTTCTTACAGGCTTTCTGGATTTGATCTTGCAGCCTTGGTGACTTAATGTGAAGCAACTTGTTCTTGAGCTGTTTTCTTTCATCTATCTTCTTTGATCTTGTTCTGTCTGTAACCCACAACAATGCTTTGCAGTTTCACAATAAATGTTCTTGATGGTATTCCATTTACTGTCAACATCATGATCTTCTTCCTCAGTTGCGGTAGAAAGCACGCTAAAACGATTCCTCAGTTCCAGGCCAAACTCTTTGTTGATGTTGGTACATTTAAGTTTGGCGATGTTAAGCTGTTTCCTGTATTGACTCCGTGGTGTTGCCCTCCGAAGCTTCAGACGCCTTGGAGGGATCTGTGCCACTTGTTGTTGACAATGAAGTGTTCAATCTGGTTGACTGTTGTACCATCAGGGGACCTCAATGTGAGCTTACGAATGCTTTTGTGTGGGAAGATTGTACCGCCAATGACACAGTTGTTGTTTAACCAAAAGCCAACAAGGCGCTCGCCATTGTCATTGATCTCACCACAGCCATGTTTCCCCATGGCTCTGTCACAGTTGGTGTTGTCAGCTCCAACCTTTGCATTCATGTCTCCAATGATCATGAGCATATCGTGTTGAGACACCTGGGATACGGCAAGTTGTAGCTGCTCATACCAGGTGTCTTTGTCCTCCTCCTCAGCTTCATTAGTTGGCGCATAGCACTGTATAACTGTGACTTTGCAGTACTCGCAGTTGTACAGTGATTTTTTTAAGGTGTACTATATTTCGGCTGGCCAAAGCAGCCTTCTTCAGGTACAATGAGAATTTTACATTGGAACGTCAAAAAAAGCTGAAACGTTGTGTTTTCGTGGACCGTCTGAAGCGTCTTTATACGAAATTACTTTTGCCCGGAGACCGGTAAGAGAAGAGAGGAAGACAAAACTTGCAAGTAGACGGCCGCCAGCCGAGACCTCCTCCACTTCCAACTGGAATTAACGCCAAAATACTGAGAATCTCACCAGAATGGCGACAGTTGTTAATCGATGAGATTTTTCTCTATCTCTTCGCCGAATTTTGAGCTTCATCCCTTCAACATTTTCCGAGAAAATCGATGCTGAAATCACGAATTCAGTTTTCTTAATATGATCGGTGCCAAACTCAGCGACCAAAGGAATTTTCAAGGTATACAGGTCGTTTTAAATCAACCTATCAGCGCTTGGCATCCCGCGGCAGCCCATCATGATGAAATCAGTAATTAGTGTGATTAGCATGAAAGGGATGGCTCTCAAAGGATGTGCATGGCTTCTTTGTTTTTTTATTGGACGTTAGTGGAATCCTAGTCAAGAATTACGAAATATTAAGAATAACATACACGCATGATACACTAGTACACGAGAAAAGATAAGATGTCGTTTCTGCAAATTAAAGTACCTCTCAGGTTAACGCTAGCTTTTGCTGTTGTTGTCATGTTTCCAGCTCTAGTGCTTGTTCCTGCAAGCGACGCAGCACTCCCTAATGTTGGCAACTGCACTTTCATGGAGTACTACTGCGATGGCCTTAAATGCAGCACACTGTTCTATCAAAGACTCCAGAAAGACCCAAAAGGAGATTGCAGGTTGGTTGGTTAATTGCCCGTGGTGAGTGGGTACTTCATTATATGGGCTATATTGGTATGTGCGGCCCAGAAATATCGATTTTGGCCCTTTGGGGCTTTCTCCCCTTGGTTTTCGTACGGGCCATTTTTTCTCAAGGTTTATTTAATTTACGGTCACGCTCAACGGACTAAGAGAAAGGGGGATTACTAGTAGTCTAACCCCTGTGTTTCCCTGTTTACATTCCAGTGCTAAATTCAACCAACTTTTGGATTGTGTGAGCAAGTCGATACATATTTGTGTTAACGACGAGCTGCCTGAAAGCCAGATCAGAGGAATTGTTTACCGATCTTTCAAAGAAAGCACATTATGTATTGATGGTATGACGGGCATACCCACCATGCCCCCGGGATCAGCTGGCCTCTCGTGTTCTGCTTCGTTCAGCAGTGACGCAGACGCATGCGTGAAAACATTCCATGAAAAGTTCGCTGCAGATAAGTCGGACCCGTCACTTTGCCCGTGAGTTACATTCATTTGTTAAAATAATTACCCTATGCCGTCTCTTAAGTCACTTGCAACGATCAAGGGTGGCAATGAAGAGAGAGCCTGGGAACGAGGTCGGTATGTCACAAGTGAAATCTCGCCCCAGTCAATTTACCAGATCAGTGTCCAGCCTCGTTCCCAGGGTCTTTTCCCTGACTCCCAAGCCGGGGAAAAGACCCTGGGAACGAGGTTGATCAGTGTCGTAAGACCTAATAATAAATGTCGGCAGGACAAGAGATTATGATCCTATTCTCTTGCTCAGGATTAATAGGCCATTTTCGAGTTACCTTTTGCCTCTGTGTCGAAACGAGTCTTCTAAACCATTCATCTGAAAATGTGTCTCGCCCACAGGTTCATTTTCATGCAAATGAACTCATTTTCATGTGACAGGTGTTACACGAGGATTGGTTTTGAAACAGAGGCACAAGGTAACACCGAAATGGCCTATTTTTTAAATGTGTATAAATATATTGAATTCAACAGGGAGCAAGCTAAAGCAAAGAAGTGTTTGAAGAACCTGATAGATTCGGATTGCACGTTTTCTTCTCCCATCCAGGAAGCGTTGGACTTGGGTCTCGGCGACTACAATCCTTTCTGTCCCAACCGTCGGGACCCTGGGGCGACTGGAAAGGATCAGTGCGATGGCGTGAGCGATCTGGACAACCCGTTCAACGCAGCCGCTGGCCTTAAACCTAGTGTCGTGCAGGCTCTTTTGTTTTCTTTTGTTGCGCTGTTGCTCGTTGTTAAGATTTGAAACAACAGAGTATGGTCATATTCATCCTTATAAGTGGAAGCGTTTTTAGTTTAAAACAACAACTTGTTTTGTTTTCTGTAAAATTTAGCACGAGTACAAAGACGGCCCTTATATGTTAACTGTTTTCTGATAAGCTATGTAGCGAAATTGTACTTTTTAAACTAATAAATGTTTCTGTTTCAATCATATCAGACTTCTCTGATATTAGCGCCATTATAAATTATTTTGAGATCTGCGTTTTTGTAGATAAAAAAATCAAGTTCAATGTGCCAATTGGGCGGCTGGAAAAACTTAGGTTAAATAAACAATAGCCTCCATTTGGAGCGGAAATATGCTCTTATATTTGTCCGCGGACATTATCTGTCCCTAGAAGCGAACAGTTTTCCGAGAGCTGCGCTTTTCGGAACAGATGACAAATATCCGAACATATTTTCGCGCCAAATGGAGGCTATTGTGTTTATTTATCCTTTAAATATTTTTCACAACGCGCGCGGTTTGAAAATTATGGTTTATCACTCGGATATTTAGTTTTAGCTGGGGAATATTCAGTCACGTGACGCGTTTAGACCAATTGCGCGCGAGCGAAAATATTTGATGGATTATAACAGTGATTATACATAAACAATCCGGCCTCAAGAGTCCTCATGGGCCCGATTAGGATGAGTGAGTAAGTGATACATAAACAATAGCCTCCACTTGACGCGGAAATATGCTCGGATATTTGTCCGCGGACATTATCTGATCTAAGGAGCGACCAGTTTTCCGAGAGCGTAGCTCTCGGAAAACTGTGAGCTTCGAGGAACAGATAATGTCCAAGGACAAATAGACGAGCATAATTTCGCGCCAAATGGAGGCTATTGCGTTTATTAACCTTCAAATGTTTTTCGCAACACGAACAGTTTTGAAAATTGGGGAATATCACTCGGATATTGGCCAAGTTCTTTTTTTGCGTGTTTATGGAACAAGGCCAATATCCAGCCATCTTGACCGAACAAGCTCGGTCAATAAAGGATTTATTATATGGCTTTCGAGGAAATTTTTCTTGCGGGAAGCAGCGGGTAGTCCCGAGCGGGTAAGATAGCTCCAGCTTGCCCGCTCGGGTAGCCAATCACAGCGCAGGATTTGATTTATCTTGCCCGCTCATGGAACTAGCCATATAATAATTGTTTATTAATTGTTGTCGGCGCGAAACGGGGGAAGAAGTGTGAGCGCCAGTAGGCTGGTTGTCCAGCGGCACTCCGNACCTTGGGAATACGAGATTGACTCATTCGAAGTACGTGACCAAGCCATCGGATTCGTTTTCGTGTAATTTCCATGACAACACTCTGGCAGCCAGTTTTTCTGTAAAGCTCCCTATTCGAGATCTTATTTGGCCAGAGGATGTGGCAAATTTTTCGGAGACACCCATTGTGGAAAGACTCGAGTTTATTCATGTCAGACTTTATGACACGCCAGCACTCAGAACCATAAAGCAGGACAGATTTGACATTGCTGTTGTACAGTCGGAGCTTGGTCTTAAGACTGTACTGATTTGACTTCCAGATGGGATCGATGAAGTTGGGCAAATGCACCACGAGCTTCCCAAGTCTTGCTTTGATGTCCTTTTGTGCCCCATTGTCTTTACTGATAAGACTGCCCAGGTATGTGAAGTCGTCCTTTTGTGCCTCATTGTCTTTACTGATAAGACTGCCCAGGTATGTGAAGTCGTCCTCAAACTCAAGTGGTTCACCACTGGCCGTGATCGATGCCGTCGGAGTAGTATTGACGTACATAATTTGAGTCTTGGCTGTGTTGATCTTGAGACCTGTTTGCTTAGCATAGGTATCCAGTGTAGCAGTCTTCTCTTGTAGGTTGGAACGGTTTGTCGAGAGAAGAGCGAGGTCATCAGCAAAATCGAGGTCTTCTAGCTGAGAAAACAAGTTCCTCTGAGTTTGTCTGAGGTGTTCTTCCTCATGGACCAGTCAATGACGACAAGGAAGGGGATGGACGAGAGGATACACCCCTGCCTCACTCCGGACTTCACTGGGAACCACTCAGAGAGGGTATTATTATCCAAGATGATGCTGCATTCCAAATGATCATAGAATTTCTCTATCAGGGTGACAATCTTAGCTGGAACTCCATATGAATGAAAAATCTTCCACAAGGTTGCCCGGTGCACACTCTCGAATGCCTTCGTGAAGTCAATGAAGTTAGTAAGGTGTGTTCCACTCTAAGCACTGCTCGATGATGTTCTGCAGCGCAAAGATTTGTTCAATACATCTTCTACCATTCCTAAATCCTGCTTGCTCTTGCCTCAGCTTGCTGTCAATTGCTGCCTCAATCCTCATCAGAAGAACTTTACAGAAAATTTTGCTAGGGACAGATAGAAGAGTTATCCCTCGCCAGTTGTTGCAATTGTGAAGGTCTCCTTTCTTAGGTAGCTTGACAATAAGGCCTTTTGTCCAGTCAGATGGGATGTTATCCTTGGTCCAGATGGTTGTGGAGAGGTCAGTCATAATTTTTGTAGCTGTATCAATGTCAGCTTTCAGCATCTCGGCATGGATGGAATCAATGCCACAAGCTTTGCCATTCTTCATGGCTTTGATGGCAGTTCTAACTTCAGCTTCAGTAGGTGGGCTGATATTAATTTCTAGGACATCTTCAGCTGGTGGGGCGTTGGCTGGGTCATCTGGCTCTGGGTGGTTAAGCACCTCCTGGAAGTGCTGTACCCATCTGGTTGCTTGTTTACGCTCTGTTGTTAAAGCATTGCCATTCTTATCCTTGACAGGGGCAGGTTGGCTGGTATCGTTGCCACAAATGCGCTTAGTGATCTTGTAGACGACACTCATCTCGCCCCTCACAGCTGCTTGCTCAACTTCACCAGCGAGCTCCTCTTTACAGGACCTCTTGTCTGACCTTGCGCTCCTCTTCACTTCCTTATCCTTTTTCTTACAGGCTTTCTGGATTTGATCTTGCAGCCTTGGTGACTTAATGTGAAGCAACTTGTTCTTGAGCTGTTTTCTTTCATCTATCTTCTTTGATCTTGTTCTGTCTGTAACCCACAACAATGCTTTGCAGTTTCACAATAAATGTTCTTGATGGTATTCCATTTACTGTCAACATCATGATCTTCTTCCTCAGTTGCGGTAGAAAGCACGCTAAAACGATTCCTCAGTTCCAGGCCAAACTCTTTGTTGATGTTGGTACATTTAAGTTTGGCGATGTTAAGCTGTTTCCTGTATTGACTCCGTGGTGTTGCCCTCCGAAGCTTCAGACGCCTTGGAGGGATCTGTGCCACTTGTTGTTGACAATGAAGTGTTCAATCTGGTTGACTGTTGTACCATCAGGGGACCTCAATGTGAGCTTACGAATGCTTTTGTGTGGGAAGATTGTACCGCCAATGACACAGTTGTTGTTTAACCAAAAGCCAACAAGGCGCTCGCCATTGTCATTGATCTCACCACAGCCATGTTTCCCCATGGCTCTGTCACAGTTGGTGTTGTCAGCTCCAACCTTTGCATTCATGTCTCCAATGATCATGAGCATATCGTGTTGAGACACCTGGGATACGGCAAGTTGTAGCTGCTCATACCAGGTGTCTTTGTCCTCCTCCTCAGCTTCATTAGTTGGCGCATAGCACTGTATAACTGTGACTTTGCAGTACTCGCAGTTGTACAGTGATTTTTTTAAGGTGTACTATATTTCGGCTGGCCAAAGCAGCCTTCTTCAGGTACAATGAGAATTTTACATTGGAACGTCAAAAAAAGCTGAAACGTTGTGTTTTCGTGGACCGTCTGAAGCGTCTTTATACGAAATTACTTTTGCCCGGAGACCGGTAAGAGAAGAGAGGAAGACAAAACTTGCAAGTAGACGGCCGCCAGCCGAGACCTCCTCCACTTCCAACTGGAATTAACGCCAAAATACTGAGAATCTCACCAGAATGGCGACAGTTGTTAATCGATGAGATTTTTCTCTATCTCTTCGCCGAATTTTGAGCTTCATCCCTTCAACATTTTCCGAGAAAATCGATGCTGAAATCACGAATTCAGTTTTCTTAATATGATCGGTGCCAAACTCAGCGACCAAAGGAATTTTCAAGGTATACAGGTCGTTTTAAATCAACCTATCAGCGCTTGGCATCCCGCGGCAGCCCATCATGATGAAATCAGTAATTAGTGTGATTAGCATGAAAGGGATGGCTCTCAAAGGATGTGCATGGCTTCTTTGTTTTTTTATTGGACGTTAGTGGAATCCTAGTCAAGAATTACGAAATATTAAGAATAACATACACGCATGATACACTAGTACACGAGAAAAGATAAGATGTCGTTTCTGCAAATTAAAGTACCTCTCAGGTTAACGCTAGCTTTTGCTGTTGTTGTCATGTTTCCAGCTCTAGTGCTTGTTCCTGCAAGCGACGCAGCACTCCCTAATGTTGGCAACTGCACTTTCATGGAGTACTACTGCGATGGCCTTAAATGCAGCACACTGTTCTATCAAAGACTCCAGAAAGACCCAAAAGGAGATTGCAGGTTGGTTGGTTAATTGCCCGTGGTGAGTGGGTACTTCATTATATGGGCTATATTGGTATGTGCGGCCCAGAAATATCGATTTTGGCCCTTTGGGGCTTTCTCCCCTTGGTTTTCGTACGGGCCATTTTTTCTCAAGGTTTATTTAATTTACGGTCACGCTCAACGGACTAAGAGAAAGGGGGATTACTAGTAGTCTAACCCCTGTGTTTCCCTGTTTACATTCCAGTGCTAAATTCAACCAACTTTTGGATTGTGTGAGCAAGTCGATACATATTTGTGTTAACGACGAGCTGCCTGAAAGCCAGATCAGAGGAATTGTTTACCGATCTTTCAAAGAAAGCACATTATGTATTGATGGTATGACGGGCATACCCACCATGCCCCCGGGATCAGCTGGCCTCTCGTGTTCTGCTTCGTTCAGCAGTGACGCAGACGCATGCGTGAAAACATTCCATGAAAAGTTCGCTGCAGATAAGTCGGACCCGTCACTTTGCCCGTGAGTTACATTCATTTGTTAAAATAATTACCCTATGCCGTCTCTTAAGTCACTTGCAACGATCAAGGGTGGCAATGAAGAGAGAGCCTGGGAACGAGGTCGGTATGTCACAAGTGAAATCTCGCCCCAGTCAATTTACCAGATCAGTGTCCAGCCTCGTTCCCAGGGTCTTTTCCCTGACTCCCAAGCCGGGGAAAAGACCCTGGGAAC